GCTTGTATGGTTATCAGAGAAGTGGCAATAAAGTGGCAATCATTAAGGGAAGGAGAAAAAAAATCAAATAGAAAAGAAAAACACCTTATTGATTTGTTCTGCCCAAACCACTGTATACATAAAATACTGAAAACGGAGCAGGTCTGTAACTGGTATCAAAGTTTCTTTGGTTCAAAACCACACAGAACACTAGCAATGTGCTTTAAATTAAGAACGCATTTCAAAGGTTAACAGGACTATTCCTTAGGCAGAACAACAAAGAGGAGCTGGTTAAAGAAAATTGGGTACACTGCAGCTACTTAAAATACTGTATCCAGGCACAACTCATTTGGATGCCTTTGAGCTCAAAGCTAATTTGAATTATACAGAGGTGCTTTAAAGAACAAAAATACTAACCTGTGTTTTATCTAAGCTCCTTTAGCTGAACCAAGCTACTAATTAAAAAGCTTCACCACTCTTCCTAATTTCTGATGTATTTTTTTAAGAGTAATAAAGCCATCTAAAAGCTCTGTCCTTCCTCACAGAAGAGTATTAACATTAGCATCTCTGAAATGCCTTGTCATCTCATGCTTTTACTAATAATATGTCTGTCATCTGCCTTGACTGTATCTCTCATAGCCAATCTAAAAATATTGTGCAGTAGGACTTCAGAATACAATACTGATGCATATGCCAACGTTCCTCTCAGTGACAATACTACAAGAATTTACAATCCAGGCAATGCTTAAATGTAACAATCTCTCTCAAATAATACATTAAACAAATGCCTACCTGGTATTATAAATATGTGACATAAAAATCTATTGGGTTGGTCAGTGTGCATATTAAAAACCATTCAAGTAGGTAAAATTGTGGATAACTTAAAACTTTAAAGACAGCAATTTTAATAAAACTGTCAATACAATTTTCTTTGTAAAAACATTTGACACTGATTATGCTGCTTATATCGAAAGAGAAACACAAGGTCTATATCTTTAGATCTTTTATTGAACTGTGAGCACAGCATCAATAACTGCTTCTCAGCTGTAAATGAAAATTGATTCCAGATCTAACCCGTCGTTTTCTGTGTGTCTTTAATCCCAAATCACCCGCAATGAGACATAAGAATCAGCATTTTGTCTATGGGACAAAGCATGTGTCATATGGCCAGCTCCAAAGTGTCTACACTGAAGATATTGTGAGGTGTGTTTCATATGTTAGATGTAGGCAGTAACTGTGGTCTCTCCAAGCAAGGCCCAAAAACCTTTATAGATCTGAAGTCTGCAGGCACCTGCAATGAACATCTCATTGGACCTCCTGCATGTCACAGCCCAAAGAAATTCACTTGACAACTTCTGCATCAAGCCCGCAGCTGCCAGAAGCCTAAAAGGAGAGGGAAACCACAGTTCCATGCAATTTGCAGCAGTTTGGCACTAATAGTTTGGATTTCCAGTCAGCTCTGACTTGCTGAAGCCTCTTAACCTCTCTGGGGTGAAATTAAAGTGTATAGCCTCATTTTAGGAATATTTTTCTTGGTGATACATTGCTAGGCCATCATCATGTGTGCCTTAACCAAAAAAGACCTAACACTTATATTAAGGAGAGTTCTCCAGATCATGTTTATAACTCTTAGGAACAATTTCCAGTTATTCAAAATCATGTTTGAAAAGTGAATGCTGAAAGTAGGCAGCACGTTCAGTAATAGCCTTGCTAATACTATGTACAGAATACATACCTTCCACTGACTTAACCTGGTAGTTCTCATCCTATCCAGAAATCAGGCTCAACCTCTTAATTATATGACTGACTGGAGCTATCGTGTGTTGGGTGTTTCCTCAGAAGTGGGGAGAAAAGGAAGGATATGTTTAACACCTGACAGAGCACAGGGTCCATGGACCCCTAAATAAATGCAATACAGATCAGAAATAAGTGCGCTTGTTCATAGGAGTGAGAGTAAGACAGAAGAGCTTTGTTTCTTGCAGACAAGCTTCTAACAATCTTCCACCATGACAAATGGACTACTGGTAGTCTCAGAAGACAGGCTGATAGATCAAACTCTTTCCACATACTATAGACATTCACTAAGAGTTGAGATCAAGGTGCATTTATGCATCAGTGTCACTACTGCCCCTGCCATGTAAAGATTGAAGGGTTCCTAGCAATTCTCAAAGGACAAATCCTAGGGCTCCCTACCAACCACTGTTCTCAAAGAATTTAAATTTCCTTGAAATACGAGTAGAGATAAAGAAAATAAACTTGATTTTTACATACTGTGTTTTTATTAATAACAATGAGTAAATGCTAGCTCATGCTTCATATTGGCTGCAAGCCTATAGCAAAAAAAAACCAAAACAGAAAGATTGTAAAGACAGTGATTTCATTTCCTTATAGAAATGTTGCATACACTATTAGAATGGTTTTGAGCTGAGAGTTTTAATCTTTTCTCTCCCTGTGAGAATGCACACATGTGTACAGCTGAATTACAATGGTCATTTGACTGCAAAATCTTTATGCTAAAAAAAGAGTATTTTTCTAACCTTGGGCTCCACAGCTGAACATTCAACACTGTAAAATTCGCATGCTGTAATTGCCTTGATCTGTCCCTCATGAATGAATATTTTATGTACTTTTTGGAAAAAATATTTTGCAGTCAAAACCCATTGCAGTTACTTTGTTGATGTTTATGTGTCTGACCAGTGGGCCAGATCAACTTTTCTTTCCATTTCCAATCCCCTCTCTTTAAAGAGATATGGCAGAAGCTGCTAAAGTGTGAAGGCACTGCCAGTGTAATGTGTGAGTGAAGCAGCAGAGCCGTGCTGCTCAGCTTTGCAAGGCCTTAGTCTGGGATGCAGTGTGTGACAAAAATTTAAAGGACAGACACATACAGTCATTCATTCAGGAAACCTAAAAAGCTGTGGGATTATTTCCTATGTGTATAACATTGTCTATACCCTCTATTTGTAATACAAATAAAAGAGATGCAACCATACATATGTGGGGTACATAGGAAAGATGAAGGTTTCCCTTAAAGTGCAGGGCATTTAAGAAATATGCTCAGCATTCTTCTGGTCCAGACCGTTTGTTTATTTTTTACGTGATTGGAAGCATTCATGTTTGGAATCCCGAAAGATACACACCATAATCTGTTTCTTAAGAAGATATTTGGGAGAGCTTAGGAGATTTGAATCAATTCTAATCACTTAAGAGTGAGATGAAGCTCACACTGCCAAAAGGAAGAATATTTTCTATGTACTACAAAATTTTGAGAAACTACATGAACGGTCCTTATTGTGCTCTCTTGTTTGTCTGCAGCTTATACTGTGAATGGTATTACTGGGAAGTCACATGGAGTTTTGGGGCAGTCTGAGGCTTCCTACAGCTTGGGCACACCACCACCACATAAGGACTCAGGCTGCAGCCCCTGAACTGGCAGCAATGTGACACTGTTCATGAGCATGACGCTGCCTTTGGGCAAGAGGCATGCATGTACCACATGACAGCAGTGATGTTTTGAGAGGTATCATTACTCCGCTGTGCAGTGTAGACATAACCATGTCTTTCCTGGTTGGGATTAACATCAGAGATGACACCTATTCAAGTCAGTGAGGGCTTTTCATTTGATGTCAGCAAATGCCGGCCCAGGCATTTGCTTCTTCATTCAGCAATGATACGTGATTTCATCTTAGCAGTGTAAATTGTGTAAATTTGGAATAATTCTACTTAAGTCACTAGAAAACTACTACTATTGGAAAACAAAAGTAACTCCTACCTGATAATATATTTCCATTTCTAGGTTTTGGGCATCTCAGTATCACAACGTCATTTTACAGGACTACTTGGGCAAGTTTCCCATAGATCAGGAAACCTGCTGGTTTCATAAGCCACCATGTTTGTACAACAGCTCCTTGCACAAGTACAGGCTTTTGATCCTTTGGCTTCAGATGAGAGCGCAACTCGGTGCTAAAAAATACTGACTTGTATGACTAAGGGGTCAACTGACATCAGAAGGTAAATCTTTCCTGGCATGACCCTAAAGGACGGATTAGGTAGGTTGAAGAATAACATTTAGGTGATTTAAAAATAAATAAGAAAGACAGACTGACTTATAATTAACATTTCCCAGGCTGAACAGATGATCTTATGCTGAATTATAGCATTACCTTCCTCTCTACTGCAGACGTTTAAACATTTGAGCCTATTGCATATATAAAGTAACATGAAAGATGAATTTAACCTGAAGTCTCTTTTTTTTTCTGATAAGAATGTTGAGAATATGAATTTCACCAGCTTTATTTCCCAGCATTATCCATAAATATTTATAAAGTGGGAAGGATAGACAATGACACAAGCCAGTTTTCTGAAAATGACTCTTCATTAATGTCCCAAGTAGGCTGAGAGACTTTCAGTATTGATTTACCACTGCACACTGAGGACTTTCCCTCTCACAAATGGGAATTGGTGGATTCCAGTCACTAGACTATGGACTCCCAGCCCTTTACTCAGTGACTGGAACAAAACTTACAGACCCAGTCTTCTCAGGTGCAACTATACAAAGAAATTGCAAAGTGCAAATGAGCTCTGCAGTTGTGTTGGTGGTCTGATGTGGTCATTTTACACCCAATTCCAAAAAGGTCATAAATTCAAGAAATTGAGTGCCAAACAAGTGGAGGCTGTTCCACAGTTGGTTTGGTACAATGGAGGATAGAAACTCGGAGCACATTAGCTATTGCTGGGTGATGCCATGTGTGGTCTCTTACTCCAAGGCTAGTAAGTCATGTTTTGGTTTAGTTTAATCCACTTCACAAAGTTAATTCAGCAAAACTGACAAAATGCATTCCTATTTAAGAATAAGTTTCCTCCCACAGAGGTTCTATGCACAAGCAAGATTTAAGCTAATGGATTCTGCAGCTCCTCAAAATGCTTTTGATGCAAATATAGTAAACCAACATGCAATCACATTCAACCAATGAAACAACTTTGTCAGATTATACGGTCTATACACTCGTATCAGATGTATTTACCTGTTCATTGTCATCTTCATCACTGCTGAGTTTCAGATCATCCTCAAGCATTCTGAAAAAAAAGAGACAATACAGAATTACATTTAATGAATTAACTTTCCATACAATGGGCTGAATCTACCCTTCAGCAAAGTCAGAGGAAAAACTTGCTTTCTATTCAACAACAGCAAATCAGATCTGTGATAAGTAAACTGATGAATACTCCATGTATGTATGCATTAGTCCTTCTATGTGATGCTAGGTAAGAACAAATGACTTTCAGACTCATCCATCGTAAAGTTTGGCAGTCAGCTCCTCTTTCATGTCCTTTTTTATTTGCACATTGTCTCACGGTGATTAGTCCATATACAATATGTGTATTTCTAAATCAGAAGGTGGAAGGGAAATTCAGCTCCAAGACTGTTAAAAACTGAGAAAAAGTCCTCCATATTTCATTCTTGATCTAGGGCATCACTGATCTTCTTTGATGCCGGTACCAATCCCCACCTTATCAAACTGAGAATGCAAAGTGGAGAATAGCAAGAAGAGAAGGAGCTTGTTTGAGGTTTGATGGCACCTCACAGTTGTTAGTATCTGAAGGCAGAGCAAACATTTTCCTTCTAAGCTAGGAATCTGCTATTTAATATCCCCATTTTTATTTGTCCTTTTTTTAAAAAAAAAACAGGGAAATCTCACATTATTGCTCCCTGCCCTTGGTTAAAGGGGAAGGAAACTCCTAAAAGATGTGGCTGTCCCAGTGCCTCCTTCCTTTCCTTTGGCAGAAGAAAGAGTTGAATAATGCATATTACTGTATTAACACTTACATTACTTCTCTTTTTTTAATCCAAGACTTGGGTATGGCAAAACATATGGGGTAAGAAACCATGGTATTTGCTGTTACATATTTGCAGAAAAGGTCTCTCCTTTTGAGGTCTGTCTACCTAGAGACATGACTAACAGCCACCAAATAACTCCCATACAGCTTCCCATATATTCACGCTTTTATCTGGTGGTCCTCCTCAGAGCTTAAATTCCTTTGGGCACACTTCTACCTCGCACCCATCTTTTCACCTTGACAAATTCTCTTATCACAAGATGTCGTATGAATGAATCAGCACATCTCACCCAAACCCGCTGTGACAGCCACTAAAATTGCCGAGCTTCCTTTCTCCCAACCTGAGCTCCTTTACCCACGGCAGGAGGCTCGCAAATTGCAATTACTGTTTCCTTTCTGCCTTGATGGAGACTGAAGTCTATGATTTTTTATTGTTAGCCTTTAAATAACTGTAGCAATCAATGGATGTTCTGTTAGGAAGTTTTTTTTTTTGTTTGAAGACTGCCAGTAAATCATGGAAGCTTCCTGATACAAGGAATTTTAAAGAGGGGACAATAATCCCAATGTGGAAATATCAGAAGGTTTGAAGCCCTGCTGGTGCTCTTAAAAAGAGAAAGTGCAAGGAGATCTTTAAACTGGTTTGTAAGTCATCTGTCTTTCGGTGACCTCTGTTGTCGGGCAGCTCAGTGGTTACAAAGTATCTGGACACATAACTACTAGTCATTAACGTCTTGATAAATGGCAGATGCCTCCCTGTAATATGTGTACCCATAAAAGTAAGACTGTAGCATGGATAAAGAATCTTCTAAAAGTAAGAATTTGTGGTGGGTTGACCTTTGCTGGATGCCAGGTGCCCACCAAGCTGCTCTATCACTCCCACTTCTCAACTGGACAGGGGAGAGAAAACACAATGAAAGGCTCACGAGTCGAGATAAGGACAGGGAGATCACTCAGCAATTACCATCACAGGCAAAACAGACTTGACTTGGGGAAATTAATATAATTTATTACCAATCAAATCAGAGTAGGGTAATGAGAAAGAAAACCAAATCTTAGAACACCTTCCCCCACCCCTCCCTTCTTCCCAAGCTCAACTTCACTCCTGATTTCTCTACCTCCTCCCCGCCAGCGGCACAGGGGGACGGGGAATGGGGGTTTCAGTCAGTTCATCACATGTTGTCTCTGCCACTCCTTCCTCCTCACACTCTTCCCCTGCTCCAGCGTGGGGTCCCTCCCACGGGAGACAGTCCTCCACAAACTTTTCCAGTGTGAGTCCTTCCCATGGGCTGCAGCTCTTCACCAACTGCTCCAGCGTGGCTGCAGTCCTTCAGGCACAGACTGCTCCAGCGTGGGTCCCCTGCGGGGTCACAAGTCCTGCCAGCAAACCTGCTCCAGCGTGGGCTCCTCTCTCCACGGGGCCACAGGTCCTGCCAGGAGCCTGCTCCAGCGTGGGCTTCCCACGGGGTCACAGCCTCTGTCAGGGATCCCCCTGCTCCAGCATGGGGTCCTCCCCGGGCTGCAGGTGGAGATCTGCTCCACCGTGGACCTCCCTGGGCTGCAGGGGGACAGCCTGCCTCACCATGGTCTTCCCCACGGGCTGCAGGGGAATCTCTGCTCCGGCGCCTGGAGCATCTCCTCCCCCTCCTTCCTTCACTGACCTGGGGGTCTGCAGGGTTGTTTCTCTCACATCTTCTCACTCTCTCTGGCTGCCGTTTCTGTGCCCGCTGCAACTTTTTTCCCTTCTTAAATCTGTTATCCCAAAGGCGCTACCACCGTTGCTGATGGACTGGGCCTTGGCCAGCAGTGGGTCTGTCTTGGAGCCGGCTGGCATTGGCTCTGTTGGACATGGGGGAAGCTTCCAGCAGCTTCTCACAGAAGCCACCCCTGTAGCCTCCCTGCTACCAAAACCTTGCCATGCAAACCCAATACAGAATTTTTCAGGAAATATTAATCTTTAGAGGCCTGAACTTTGGTGATGAACAGGAACTTTTAATGTTGTTTATCTAGCAGACACATTCATTTGTTTCCCCAGTGTCATTACTTGCTGTGCCATTCTCAGTGTATTGCTGTACCTCCATCTATCCAGGGTCCCAGATTGTTATCTGCAAGTCTCATTACACACCAGAAGGACAATACCCCCAGGAAACTGAGACCATCTTCATACAGGACTATATCATTCTGACTTTTAACTCTAATTCAATCCTACAATCCTACTTTTAAACCTACATCTCACTTTAATGTGTAAATTATCCACTGCTTTAAAGCAGCACTAGTAGATAATGCACTCTATTATTATTTTTTAATGCAGATCTAAGAGGACATAATGCAAAGGATCTTTTCATGAACGAAGCCCAAAGGGTGGTGGGGTTTTTTTTTCTTTCCAGCTATCTTTTTTTTTTTTTCATTTGTTAATGTTAAATTCTTTTTTGACATATCCTGGTAGAAATAAACCAAAAAAGGACAAAGGAAACTCCATATTGGATAAATGGAAAGAACAAAGAAGAAAACATAAAAAAGATAAATGAATACACTTACTAAACTAACCAAACAGCCATCTGAAATGGCTGATTAATAACTGTCCTCATACAGCCTATACTGCAGACACTTTCTAACAAGTACAGTAAGCGCAAGACATGTTTATTGAATATTGAAAAATATAAAATGGATATAAAACATGATTAGTAGGAAGGACAACTGTTAGAGTTGGTTTCAGATAAACTAAATTTGCAGGATTTATGAGTTCCCTTCAAGAGACTAATGGATGTTTAGACGACTAGAGAGAGGAAAAAAATTGCATTTTGGTATTTCTTTAGCAGTTCTAAGCTTATCACTTGGAGTATATAATTCTTCTTAGCCTGTTCTGCTAAATGAAGAATATGTCATCCCATTCAGTTACAAAACTCAAAGGTTAAACAACTAAACCACACAGCTTCTAAAATGCATCACACTCTCCTGGCAGATGGAATAATTAAAGAGAAACTGAGTACGGTATCAACAATAAATATATGGTAGCCAGAGAAGTGAAGGAATAAATTAAAAATACACAGTACGTGCAAATGAAAGTAGAATGCTGAAGAGTTCAAATAACCTGCTCCCAGAGGATATTGGTTAAAGAGGTAATATTTTACAGAAAGCAGAGGACTAGATGTTCTTCCACAATTTTAAAATGTGCTTAATATTCTGAAGACATGGGTCATAGTAGCTTGTACTGTTTAATGTTTCTATTAACTCTCATTTATAAGCAAGTAGCATCTGATCACACTCAAAGCCCAATAAGGGCTTTTTAAGATTGCCAGCAACCTTAATCCAAGGTGACTATTTCACGATCATATCTAGAGAGGTAACCCATTTCAGCTTCAAAGCCCTGAGACAGAAGAGCTCTGTATCTACAGCTCTCTCACACACTGTCTGGATGGTTTGAACGTGACATTAGGCACTCTTGAGTGAGAGATCCCTGTAAATACGCATACGATCTATTCTGCTCTATGTAATTGTTAACCTCAGAACCAGCCAGACTGGAGATTACAGAGTATATTTGTTATGAAGATCAGCCCAGCTATTAATGAAGGCCAATTTGAATGAATACTGTCAATGAGGGCAAATCAAAGAGAAAACTGCCTGTATCAGAAAGCTATCTCCAGAGGTGTTATGAATTCATTTTATTTCCTATTCTTCTCTGACCCAGCTGACATTATTATTGAATATACATGTACTTGTTTGTCTTTTCATCCATAGCTAATGCAAAACACCACTTTAGGGAAAGAATGGGATTAAGTAGGATTTTTTATTTCATTATTAGAGCAATGCCATTTAGTCTAACAGTTGAAGATGTGTCAGCACATTTACTATAATCTACAATTTCCAGATGTTTATAATTTGGAATGTGAAATTATTGCAAAGCAGAAACGTCGGGACAAAGCAACACATTTATCTGTAGTGTAAGTAGGGGCAATCTCATTGACTGACTACAATACCCACTTCCTCCAGGGATGAGTCGGCTCCCAAAGCAGATTGTTCTTACCTTACAAATTTAACTAGACAAATGGCTGAATGAGGGCTTTATTAGGATGAGTTCTGTAAAAGTCTCACTAGAAATAGTAACAACAAAATATTATTTTTAGGAGCCTTCAACTTGTACCAGGCCTCAGAAGATGATGAGATGGACCAAAATCAAAGAGATATTTTTATAACAGTTTATTATGATTTTGGCATAGCAAGCTAAATTTTTAACTTCTTTG